CAATCAAGCTCGTGAGCCATTGATCCACTATGCTCTTCCAGCTCATCATATCTCAACTATCCAACACGATCTATCTAGAGCATCATCAGTATACAAAATTTTATTCTTCAATATTTATCTTTTTTCACTTATTTTGGCTTAATTAATTACTTACGCCAAACGGAATCATTTTTTTTTTTAATTTGTATACTTTCAACTACTTTGTATTGCACATCAACTTCTGATCTTACTAATTCGAGAATTTTTTTTCTAATCAGATATTATATTTACGATAAATATCTTCATGCATCGCAGGAGCAAAGTACTAATTATTGTCGATTTTGACATTGTTTTCTCCAATAAGGACTTCAATGGCGATGAAGGAATCCATTATAGCATCACTAAGAAGAATATGTCTTATGAACTAATCTTGATTTCAAAAGTCCGTCAACTCAAGTGACCAAAATAAATATAAATTTTGATGAACATTTTTTTTTTTCTTGTAATGTATTACAAATTAAAATCTTAATGAAAAATTACACTTTCCCCTCAAACTAATTGTTCGTCGGGAAATCCCAATCGAAATCGTAAAATGTCTAAATTATCCTTAAATTAAAAAAATATTATAAATTATAGATAATCCCAAAAGTGTGTATCAATTACAAAATTACCCTTTTTGTTTATAATCACCCTAATTAAGGTATACTCGAATTACGAAAATTCTCATTATGTTTGTTTTAAAGTAGACGAACCGTACAAACTTAATTTGTTCGTTGTATAAACAAAGTAAAAAGTGTTGTGATTTACTAATACTTTACAAAACCAAACTTTTAATTTCAAATATTATAAAGCATTACATTTTAAATTATTAAAAAAAAAAAAAAAAAAAAAAAACACACACACACACACACAAATAAGGGGTCTAAAAGTGGCCACAAAACAAAATTGAAAATGAAGAGGACATTTGTCATTCATTCATCAAATATTATTAACTTTACATCAAAAGAGAATACAAATGAAAACCCACTAACCTAGTTAGATTTGGACCGTGGACTTTGTCTTTTAGGTTGGTGATCAATTAGTGGTGGAAAGTATGAACTAGTACAATTTGCCCCCCATTCAATACATTGAAAAGACCACGCACTCCTATGGGGTTATTTTGGGAAATCCAAAACATAATTTTGGTGTGAAAATAAATAAATAAGTTTATTAGTTGTTTTTATTACTTTGTTAATTGGTTGAGTCTATGTAATGATCATGTAGTATAATGATTACCTTTTATTAATGCAAGCATTTTAGACTCGTTAGTATACCAAAATGTTATATATATTACTTTCTTGTGTGCAAATTTAGACTGGATGGCCTGTTTTAATAGGAAAATCGGATGTCATATGATGATTGATACGTGGATAATTTAAATAAAAATATAATTAAGATTCTAATAATTGAAAAAAAAACAAAAAAAAAACCCAGCATAGCCCATAACCCCTCTTACTCTAATTATAATCAGCGTGATTTATTAAGAGTTGAGACCTAAAAGTACCACATGTCAAAAATAAGTACTTCCTTTAATCAAACTTGTGGGTTTCTACTTTTTTAGACATCCTATTCTATTATGGTAATTTCACATTCATTGGTACTAACAAATTACATTAATTGAATTGGCATAATATGGGTAAGTTTTGAGAAGTTTCTCAACACTAAAATTTGTACATATAAGGATACTTATATACTTTTTTTTTCATTTCATGCAATTTTCGCGACACGGTATGCACTTATTAGTCTCAATATGTGCAAAAAAGAGCAATGACCGCATCACAAAGCAAACTAAACTCGAGTAATTAGATGTAACATTGGGTGAATTTCAACAGTAGATCTACATATAATCACATACACTAATATTGTATGTGTACTTAATGGATAATTATTTAATCTAATCTACGGTTGAAATACATTCAGCGTATATAACCAGGTGTAGCATCTAACTCCCCAACTAAGCTCTCAAATTTAATTATATAACTAATGGAGCTTCCATTTTGAGAGCGTAGATAGCGGACCTCTCAAACTAAGCTCCGATTTTGAGGGTTTAGTTAGCAGAAACTGCAACCCCGTGTTTTACAAGGACTTTTTGCAATTAAAAAAAAACATATTTATAGCAATATATTTCTATGTTGAGGCAATTTCACCAACTTCCCCATACATGTGCTAGCAAGAAAAGAATTGAAGTGTACACCGGGAATTAAAATTACATATATCATATATAATATATATATATATTTTGTCACCCCTCATTAGGAGAGTCGGTACCTAGCATTTACCAATAAGATAATGGTCTAGGATTTGAGTTCCCTTCTCCAACTTGAATTTACTAAAAATATATATATATATATATATATATATATATATATATATATATATATATATATATATATATATATTATATATATTTGGTAATTATTTATAAAGCCATTATAATATTTTATTTTATTTTTCCTATCCTACAATTAGTCAAAATCAAATGTGAAAAGAAAGTGAGTGGGGAGATGATGCTGATGTAGAAGCATTGATTGGTCCATTTGGCCCTGAGTTGCTGACAGCCTCAAGTCAAAACTATTAAGTGGGAGAAAAACTTTATTTTTTTTATTTTTTTTTTCTTGCATGAAATTTTTTTTTTAATAAAAACACCAAAGTCATAATATATATATATGATATATACGAATTAGGCAATTATAGCACCACCACCACCTACAAAACCACTATCTCATAATTCTATCCCATTAGACACGTTCACAAATTTGCACAATTTATAATGATTAATAATATAATTGTATAATTGTATAATTGTATTGTACTTTCAATCAAGAAGCATCTAGAAAGCCATGCAACTTTTGGCAAATTAAAGGTTTTCCACTCCTATAAATAGGGCTCATAGTTTAGTGTTGTTCTTCATGACTTATATAAGTAACAACACTTTTATATATTAATATATCAAAAACACTTCAGGTGTGTTTTGATCATA